AAAGAGGGGGAAGGGGGTATACATAAAAAAGCGGACGGGGATGAGCCGCAAATGTATCAGTCGAATGAATCAGAGAGTACAAGAAAGGGATGTAAATGAGCCCTAGAGAAAATGAATCCTGTGATGTTCTCAAAATTAATTAAAAAGCCCTTGGAAAATAAAAATAAAAGCCCCCCCCCCCAAAAAAAAAAAAGCGACTGCCAAAAAAAAATATATCAAGCTGAATATGAGGCACCCCTAACCCCCTCTCCTCCTAACCCCCTCTCCTCCTAACTCCCTCTCCTCCTAACCCCCTCTCCTCCTAACCCCCTCTCTCACCTCAGCACTAACCCCTTACCCCTAACCACTAACATCTCACCCCCCTCCTCCTCCTAACCACTAACGTCTAACCCTCCTCTTCCCCCTAACTTCTAACCCCTAACAAGGATCAGGAAAAGGCGTTTGGCCGGATAAATAGATGTCAACTTTGGAAAGTCTTAGAGGAATATGGCGTAAAAGGACAATTGTAGGAGAACATTATAGTACTTTATAAAAACAGCGTGTGTGCCGTAAGATCAACAGAAGGACTATCGAACTGGTTCCCCATCAGGTCTGGGCTGCGACAAGGGTGTGTTCTCTCTCTGTTTCTCTCCGCTTCTCTTCATCACTTACATGGAAACATCACTGAACTGAAGGAGCTTCTATTTGTTAATAAAAAAGAGTATATTAAATACAGATGAAGAGGAATTACAAAAACACACCACAAAACTAAATAGGGAATGTAAACACCTGAACATGAAAATCCCTATCTCAAAAACGGAAGTTACGAAGGTCAACAGAAATCCAGGGACACTCAACATTCTTATTGACGGAACACAGCTCCAACAAGTAGAGGAATTTAAATAGTTGGGAAGAATCTTCACACAAGATAGGCGTATGGACAAAGAAATAGAAACAAGAACTATGAAGGCAAATGCAGTGACTTACTAGCTCGCACCACCTGCTGAGTCACAAGAGCATCAAAACCGAAGTGAAATCCCAGCTCATTAACAGCATCTTCATACCAACATTAACATACCAGTGCCAAACATGGTCTCTAAACAAGGCATAAAAAAGAAAAATCAATGCAGGCGAAATGAGGTGTCTCCGCAAAACCATCAACGTCACCAGAAGAGACCGCATAAGAAACGAAACGGTACAAACTGGAATATCACCAGTAATAAAATTCATAGATCGTTAAAGAGTTAAATGGTTTGGACATCTAACCAGAATGCCCCAGAAACAACTAGCGGCTAGAGCTTACAACATCCGAGAATCCGGCTTCAAATCAAGAGGAAAAAAAAGAAAGACCTGGCACGATGGCGTTAGAAAGGTCCTGGACTAACATAACATATCTATCACAGACGCTACACACCTAGCACAGCACCGAAACTTGCACCTCCCCTCGACTTCTTAAGGATACCAGAGGAAGGAAAAAGTAAAAGTAAGACATAATGTTCTTCATTTTATAATGTTTCAAGCTTTGCAACATAAGTGCTTCCCCATAGTGCCGAAGATTAGAGTCTTTACAAGAGAGTAAAAAAAAAACCCCACACAAAAAGGAGTAGAGAAAAGGAAGATAGATCTTTGATAGGGAAGAAGGAGCAAACCCCACCAGAGCACCCGCCAACCGTGCACAAGTGGTGTTCAGCAGGCATACTGACGGAGACACTAAGTAAAAACAGGGAACGATCAGAGCCGCGCACTTTCGAGAAAAAACTATCAAAGTCGCGCACTTTCGAGAAAAAATTATCAGAGCCGCGCTCTTTCTAGAAAAATACTATCAGAGCCACACACTTTCTAGAAAATACTATCAGAGCCACACACTTTCTAGAAAATACTATCAGAGCCACACACTATCAGAACCGCGCACTTTTTGACGATATCGATGCAATTAGATATCTGATCCTATTCAATGGTTACAGCCCCCTTAATAAAATCACTCTGTAAATCCCCTATCCAAATACATTCGTCTTTCTGGAGACGTTAAGCATCTTCCAGACCGTTTCTCAGATGAAACTAAAAACACAGACCAAACAAAATGACACTGCCATGAAAGAGGAAGGGAGAATGCGTTATATACGCAAATATACGCAGAAGGACAATTCTCTCAAGGACACTTTTTATCCTGAACGAGCAACAAAAAGCTACCCCCTGCACTTCAAAAATTCCCTCTGTCCTGTTGAAATGTTTTTATACTTGAAAAGCCAATTCATTCAATTCGAAATGTAATTGATGCT